AAAAACCCTGATTTTGAGGAAAAACACCTTAAAATTTTAAGATTTTCCCGGTGAGCTAGCAAAGTTTTGTTTCTTTTTAGCTGGGAAATCTCAATATTCACATATAATTTGAGGTTTCCTCTTCATGACATCAAAAATTCCTCATTAAAATGACATAAAATTAGGATTCAGACCAAACATTTATGTATTATTGTAACCAACAAGACAAATTAAGTCATCTATATGGATTTAATGATGATATCAGAATGATCCAGGTATCAAAATGTAGCTTCTAAAGCCAAGAATCTGAAAATGTAATTAGGTCATTTTGACCAAATTTGACTTAATCCTCATTTTGATGTGATGGGTCACATATTTCATGAGTTTTCAGTTCTAGTTCTCAGAGAGAAATCTCAATCGGTCATAATAGGATTGGGCTGGTAGGAGCTTTGAAACGATTGGAATTGGTCCTGAAAGATGCGATCGATGCTACATTAAACTCTTCACACTTTTTGTTCAAATGGAAAACCAAAATGAACACACCGGCGTGATAATATGCATACAGCAGCACGTGTAATGGATCTTTACAACTTAGTTTTTCTAACAGTCATAAACYGTGCATTAAGTTAGGCGGACTGATTCCAGCTGAACGCAGCCCGATATCAATCTGTTGGCTTCTCAGCTCGGCACAGTCCTCCCTCCATGCTTCAAGAGAAGACATTCAGAAACATAGAGCAACAGTGTGACAGAGGGAAAATGTTTGATGCTGTAGGAAAACAGCTCTCATATACTTGAAACGGTTTTTTGTATGTCTATATTTAATCAGCTGGCAGCCAGACTAGATATTGTGTAGATCTGTGACATCAACTCTGGTTTGTTTCATACTGAGTCCACCGTCTATGGTTTGGTGCAGGAAAGAAAAAAAATTCAATATATGTAACCGTCTACGCATCACTACTCTGCTGTTAAAGATGCGGCCATTCTCCACTGCTCTCCATCCATCATCCCTCCCAGCTTTCATGCTTTTTAACATTCAGTGATTCACTTATCTCCACTCATTCCACCTTCCATCAATCAACTCACTTGCCATTTACAGACACGTAACTACTGACACCGTGACCACATCTGTAAAAATACTAAATAAAAATAAAAAAAAAAAGGGAAATTAACGTTCCCACCTTGCATTGCGGACATTTCTGGGCATTCCTCTGCCCATGCTCGATGACGCTCGCCCAGCTCCGAAGCTGCTTGTCTGCTTTCCTGTAGTCGCGGCACTTCAGTCCGTCGTGCCACGGCGCGTGGCATTTAAAGCACCACACAAACTGGCAATTGCTACACTGGATCTGCAGGACGGAGAGGGTGAGTGTGCGTGTTTACCAACAGATGCGCAAATGAGTGTAATCTGCACAACTTGGAGGCGTGGAGTGTTTATTCACACAAAGAAAATTATATACAGCGGGTAAAGTAAGTATTGAACACGTCAACATTTTTCTCAGTAAATATATTACTAGAGGTGCTAATGACATGAAATTTTCACCAGATGTCGGT